AACCATTATCTTGTTTTGAAATTCTGTATCATTTTTGTTTTTTTATTCTCTTAAAAAAAAGCCAGACCAGAAAAGATTATATCATTATATATATGGCTGCATTTATATGAAAAGTCCAGAAAAGACAAATCTATAGAGATAGAAAGCCGATTTATGGCTGCCTGGGGGTAGGGCAGAAATGAGGACTACCTGAAAACTAGCACGAGAGATCTTTTAGGGGTGACAGAAATATTCTAAAACTGGATGGCTGTGACGATTGCATAACTGTAAATCTACGAAGGAGTCACTGAATTGTACACTTAAAATGGATGGTTTTGATGGTATATAAATTATACCTCCATAAAGGTGTTTAAAAAAGTAAAGTGCAGTTGGAAAAGGTGGGAAAAGGGGTAAGGAAAACTCAGCTTCCTCTGGAGTCAGCTGCAAAGCCAGATACCCAGGGCTGACCGGGAGCGAGTGCAAACACACCGGGATGCATGGTTCCCTGACCCTTTTGTAAATCACTCACAGCAGATCCATTTGCTAGGAGTCAATCCAATTGCCCAAGTTTCCTCTATGGTCCACTGAAAATACAGAAAATAGTCTTCATCCTTCTTCCTTACATTACACAACCCTCACCAATTATGGTCCAACCTCTGTTCAATCTGCAATCATAAAGTAGCTCCCTGTCGCAAACGCTAGGCTTCTCTTCAATTGCTTCCTGCCAGCAGGGGAAATAGTGGCGCAAATATCTAATCTCCCTGAAACATTACTTTCTTTCTATCTTCATCTCTCCTGCTCATAAAATGTCAGTGATTTCCCACTGTCAGCCTGATAAACCTCCAGACTTCCTGGTCTAGGGTTTAAAATCTTCACCTTCGCCTTCCACAACTTTGGTTTCTAGCTGTCTCCCTAAGAGCCTAAGGCTGGAGTCTGGAGACACTGGTTTCTTGTTTTACCAAAACTTTGCATTTATTCAAATCATGGTAAACAAGGATTGGCAATGGTTAGTCAGAAGATTATGGACGCTAAAAAAAGACACTTTTTCCTAGCTTTGGATCCTGGTGCCACCTCTTAAGACAGGATGGGATCTCTGGTAAATAAGGCTCAGAAGAATATTTTTCATCTGAAAAATGAGGATTCTATTTACCAACCAGAATTGCTGTGATAACTGAGAAGATACATAAAAAGTTCATCACAGCTGGGGGAGGTGGTGCATATCTATAATCCCAGTACTTGGGAGCCTGAAGCAGGATGATGATCACTGGAAGTCTGAAGCCAGCCTGGAATACATTGTGAGTTCAAGGCCAGTCTGAACTATAAGGTGAGGTCGTCTCAAAAACAAAAACAAAACGCCTAGTGTATAGAAAGTACTCAGTTAGACGCAGGGAGAAGTCCTTAGTAAGCTAGCAGGCTCATTACTACACAGTTAGTGGTAACGAATTTTTTCTATCAAACTGCAGTAGACTCTTTCCTCTGCCATGTATAGGGATGGGAGAGGTTGAGGTAAATGAAACTGGGGCGGCTTTAAGAAAAACATGCTTGAATCTACATACTGAACTTCTGATTGAATTGGGTTTAAGAAGGTCCTGACAACTACACTTCTCGACACGTTCCCAAGGGCTGCTAATGTTGAGAAGCACTACTTTAGAGAAATAATACGACTGGGACTTGGCTCCGACAACAAAAAAAAAGAAAGAAAGAAAAGAAATAATATATTTAGGAGAAATAGCATTATAAGAAGGATAGGACCTGCAAAAAAGAATCCTTGCTTTTATAGTCTACTAGTGGTAGTGGTGGCAAACCTATGGCATGTGTGCTAGAGCAGAATGTATCATCGAAAGCTCTAAAAGGTTCTCCATCACTGGTGTACACTCTGGGTGGGCCATTAATTTCTCTTTCTCTGTCTCTACATTCCCAAAGACACAATGATATCTAACAAGGCTGGTACAACGACAGGAGGAGAAAAATGGCTGGGAAGGATTGGGTGGTCATTAAGTTATATGTAAATATTTAATACCACCACTAGGACCATCAATCTTTTGGGTCTGGCTTGATATTCTGACACAGAAACTGATTACTATGAGCCAAATAAAAATTTACATCTTTATGTTCATCGTCATGTTAACAAGTCCCAAGTGGAATAGAAGCAATTAGAAAGCAGATGGTTGAAGCGTGAGGTTGTGAGTTCAATTCTCGGTGCCAAAGAAAAAAGGATGATGATTCCCATTTAATGCAAAATAGTCCTAGAGAGCTGGACTGGTAATCTCAGGCCCAAAGGTCCCTTATTTTAGTTAATTGCTATGCTCACAACTATTTAATCAACACCATAGGACGATCAATCTTAATCTCCTTGCTAAAGCAAGCTAGAAATTCTGGCCAGAAGTAATTTAGCACCCGAGATTTTCATCATCTGATGAAATTTGTCCTTTCACTCCAGAGCTACTCTGCAAGGTCCTCAGGTCCTAAATTAACTCCTGCCAGAGCTAAAACACTTTACTCATTTCAGGGTGATGTCTCTGACACCCAATTTATTGCTTTTACATATAAATTTATAATAAAATGTGAATTAGGCTTTCATGATAATTATCCTAAGGTCAAATCAATGTCTGGAACAACCTTTAAAAATAAGTCTGATCAAAAGGAAGGAGTGTTTCTGATGTAAACGCCATGCTTCCAGCAAAGGGGCTTTAAAAAAATCCACCTAACCACCAGTAATCAATTTTCTGAAATTACAATTTCCAGCAGACACACACCAGGTACTGGTAGTGTAAAAGTGCTCTGTGGGAGGGAAACATTTTTCTCTTTCACTTTCTATTAATGACAACTTTCCCTCACAGCCAAGGGAATACCTGCTGTGGGAAAGGCTGGACCTAGTGCAAAGAAGCTGACACCTCTCAGAGCCCGCTCAGCTGTAGTCAGTAGCTGGCTCGGAGGTCCTTTCAGCTTTTCAACATCCAAGACAAGGACGAAAAAGTCTGGCTGAGAAGGGCTCTCCACCAACTTGGGGCAGTGCTATTCCACATGAGATTTATTGTACAAAGTCTGGAAAAACTGGGACAAATACTAGCTACTCTATTTGTTCTGTTCAGGTGGAATCTTTAGAGGTAGAATGGTCCTTATGGTGAGCAACTAGGACAAACTTCTCAGTGCCTGAGGTCATAAGGTTGAGTGATTTGTCTACAATGACCATAGAAAGCTTTGGGCCAGGACCTGAGCTCAAGTTGTTGAAGAAGCTTCGTGTCTACTACACCACACTGCCATGGTGATCTCTTGTAGAATACTTTTAGTGCCAGGTCAGTCTTCTAGTCATGGCTAAATGGTAATCACCATTCAGGGGGAAGAGTAGTGGGCTGGGGACTAAGAAGATCTGTGCTCTACTGCTGTGTGTGTGTGTGTGTGTGTGTGTGTGTGTGTGTGTGTGTTCATGCATGTGTGACCTTTTAGAGGCCTGATCTTTTAACGGGTCTCTGCTTCAGTTTGCTCATCCTAGCCACCAGCAAAAACCCCACTACCGACTCAGTTCTATCTTCCGTCCTTTTGTTTCCCTGCACCAGCTCAAAAGACTACATCATCCCTTCAAATTCTTTAACAACCTTATTATGTGTCTTTGAGCCTCTATGCTTGCTCCTTTATACAGGTTGTCTTTAAACACATATACAACTATGTCATGTGACTGCTCACCCCTTTACAGCTTCTTGTGTACTGGGAATAAAGCATGTGCACTGCTTCCACACCAAGCTCGAGTCTCTGACCTATCTCAGACCATTTTCCTCCTTGCTCAGTATTCTCGGACCATGCTGGCTCCCTTTCATTTCCTCATGTGTGTCAGGTTTTTCTTTTGTTTTGGTTTTTTTCCGGTACCGGGAATTGAACTCACAACCTAGTACTTGCCAGGCAGGCGCTGCGCCGCTGAGCTAAATCCCCAGCGCCGAACGTGTGTCAGTTTTGTCTTTCCTGCCAATCGTTTGTGTCTCCACCTTCCCTCCCCAAATTCATGTGTTGCAGCCCTAACCCCTTGTGTGTCTGTCTTTGGAGATGGGGCCTCAAAGGAAATACGGTTAAATGCGCCATCGAGGTGCGTCCTACTGCAATAGGATTAGGTCCTCAAAAGAAAAATGTCAAAACAATCCCTTTCTTTTTCTATGTGTACATGAAAGCTCATGTGGGCACACCCACACAGCTTCCAAAACTGTGAGAAAATAAATTTCTATTATTAAAATCACTCAAACCATGGTATTTTTATGGACGAGTGCATGGCCTCAGACTTTTACATATGCAACATCGCTCTGATTGGGCTTTTTCTTCCTCCTTCTGTTTTTTGTCTATCTTTTCTTACTTCTCATCAAACTTGCCTGTCAACTGGAGCACTGAAATGAGACAGTTCTCCAAAACATCACCAAAACCAACGGATGTTTTAATCTTATCTTCCTGGGCCCTCTCTGTCACATGTGACACCTAGAACCCTCAGCTCCTGAACCCTCTTTCTTGGCTCTGATTTCACCACTCTCTGGGTATCTGTCTCTGGATCTTCTAGATTTCCTTTCTTAGCTACTTAAATGTTAGTGTTCCACTGGGTTCCTTCCTTGGCCTACATATTTTTTCTTCTCCTTCTGTACAATACCCACCTTGGGAAATCTCTTCCATTCTCATGGTTTAACTCTAGGAGAATACCGATAAATATCCAGGTGCTTGTTGGTTATATCCTTGAACAGTCCCCTGGTATCTTAAATACAAGATATCCGCAACTGCAACTCTACCTTCTCAGCCAAACTAGTCTCTCCTTTGAAATTCTCAACCTCAATGCATGGTGCTACCTTTTGCCTGAATAAGAAATCTGGGATGACTTTGCACTTTCTCCTTTTGCCAGTAGCTCACTTTTTCTCTCTTTGGGCCTCAAGTGTATGGATGAATTAGTTGTACTCCTTGGTTCATGACACTCTCTCATCATTAGTTTGGTGCCTTTGCAACAACCAGCTGTTCCTACGGCTTCTTTTCGTCCTCCAGCCAAAGCAACCTACCTTTCCATCTTTGAAGTGCTTCTTGAGCTGCTTCTGCATGGCAGTCAGCTTCTTGGACTGCACCCCACTGTAAGCCAGCAGCATGCCACCAAACTGCCTCTCAGTTATTCTTCCATCCACAGGGTCATGGCGTTCAAACTGGGAGGGAAACAGAAATAGCACCTTGGAGTCAGATGGAAACTATTTTGACTTGGAGCAACTGTGTTAGATGGCAAAACATAGCTGATGGCTGCGACTCTATTTCTGAGCTAAGGTTTCCAGCACGAACTGAAAAAAACTACAAAGAAACAGAGATCAGGGCTCAAACTTGCAATCCTCCTGCCTCAATCTCTCAGACTGCTCAGATTACCTACATGCACTCCCACACACAGCTATTATTAGTTCTACTTTGTAGATGAGAAAACCGAGGGAATATGCAGCTATATGCGGCAGAGCTGAGGCCCAAACTAGGCCCTGTGTGGGTCTAACAGTTCTCAAAAATCACACTCTTTCTTGCTTCGAAACAGTAGTACACATGCAATCTTATGGTTTGTTTTATTAAAAATACTTTCAATTAATTAATTAATCTTTTTTTTGAGACAGGGTTTCACTATGCAGTTCAGGCTGGCCTTGAACTTACTTTGTAGCCCAGGTTGGCCTTGAACTCATGGGGATCCTTCTGCCTCAGCCTTCCGAGTGCTGGAACCACACACGTGGCCACCATGTCTGGCTGAATGGTTCTTGTTGAGACAGGGCTTTTCTTTGTAGTGCAGGCTGGCCTTGCACTCACTATATATCCCAGGCTGGCCTCAAACTTGCGGCAATCCTCCTACCTCAGCCTCCCAAGCGCTGGGATTGCACTATGTTGTTTTGGGTAAACTAACACAGCTATGGGGTTTATAAGTGATATTTAAGTGAGGACAACTGTTTGCAAAGAAATCAACATCATCAATATTAAGTGAAAGCCTCTTTTTCAACTCAACCACTCAATATTTCATGTCTGTCAAACCATCACTTCTCTAGAGCTGATTAATTTTTGACAATACCAAAAGTTTTCAGGATTCAACTGTCGTTTGATTTACGGCTTAATTTACTGTCCTCAAACAAAACAGGTAGCTGACAAAATTTTGCAAACGGGCGTACTTTTTGCAGTGTTTAAAATAGATTTCCAGTGAAATCTGACACCTGGACAAAAGTTGGAGCTGCACAGCTCATCCAGGGCTTCTCTTGAAACAAGCGCAGCCCTTGCTCTCCAGACCAGGCTTTAAGGACTGTTTGTTGTCCCCTGAGCTGGAGGATCTCACAGCTGTGGGGCAACCCCAGACGTTTGCATTAGATGAGTTTTCAGCTCTATCCCATTGGATTCGAGGCTGAAATGCTTTTTGTTCACACCACTAGCAGCAGCCGCAGCTTGCTCAAGGCTCATGAAGGCCTTAATTTTCTTTTCCCCATAGGGACAAAAAGCTTCTCTGCTGTTATGTATCAAAGGCTGTAACAGCAGTTTTTAGTGGAGAGCCCCAAGTAACAAGTTCAATGTTCAAACTGGCATTTTCACTACTTTTCTTTGAAAACTCAGGGTTGGTTTTGGCAACGGATCCTATTTTTATTCCCTTTTTATTATTTTTAAGTAACTGGAACTGAAAGGGCTTAAAAGTTATAAAATTTGGCTCATCTGTGTAGTATGGCCCACTCCAAAGCTTATTACTTCAGCTCAGTAGTTGATTTTGGGTAACAACTCTCTGTTTTAAGTTTGTAGGGTCTTCTGAGGCAAGACTGCTTTATGGTTGTTTTCTGGCAGTGCTGGATATTGAACATAGCCTTGTACATGATCAGCAAGTGCTCTATCACTAAGTTACGTGTCTGCCATTTTCTGAGGTCTTAAACATGGTGAGAAGGTGCAGCGGAGAAACAGTATGCACTACATGTCCCATTGACTCAGCATTTTAAACTGAAGATGGTCTATACTAAGTCTAAGGATTTTTGAGAGCAGTTTTCTCATACATTTTTTTTTTTTTTTGGTGCTGGGAATCAAACTCAGGACTTTGCACTTGCCAGGTAAGCACTTGTGCCACTGAGCTAGATACCCAGCCCCTTGAGAGCAGTTTTCTCAAGCATCTTCGTTAGGGTTAAAATTCTAAGGGGAATAGCTAGACCTTACATAGCTCTAGGGGTCAAATGTGTATCTTAAGTCCCGCCAATCCTGTGGGTGCTCTCCCACAGTGCCGTGTGCATGCACTCCATCCCCAAGGTCAGGGGAGGGTCTCTGGGAAAGACACAGATTATTACAAAATTATTGGAGGCAAAATGAATCACTGGCTTGCATTTTACTTAGCTAAAAGTATATTCGGTTCACATTGGAATCTCTCAGGTTCCACTTCAATGACAATGAAGCAACTGCATTCTACTTGATCCCGTGGTACACAACGTGTGCATGCCAGCACAGCACACACCATCTGTGTCACTTTTCTGTGTTTAGAAGGAAAACTGACCAGCCTAGCACTTTCTCTTCTGCAGCCATTCTGTGTTCTCAAATGGATGCAAGCTGTTGTCTCTCTGTGGGTTCCCAGGGGGCTGCAGGGCACGCAAACAAGGGCCAGAAAAGAGGAGCCAAAAAACTGTGCGAGATTTTTCTTGGCTTTCTATTCATACTTGCCTCTCACTCCCACCCCTGCCCCTCATTGAGAGAAGGGATAGCCTTTTGGAAGGACAGATGGTCCACACATATCTGTATGAAATGATTTCAGAAAGCCAGGAAGAGAAGAAAACATGCAACGTGAACAAAGGCCAAAATGAAAGTTAAAAACAGTAAAAAGAAAATGACATCAGTATCTGCATGTGGGGCCTCATTTATTAAAGACTTTGGGATTAACGTGTCTCAACAAATGTAAACTTCAATCTTGTCCTTTTTCACATAATCACTTCTCAGCAGACTTTGTCTGCGCCTCGGAGTAGATCCTTCCTTTATTTCAGAATGATAAATTTCTTGATAGGCTATTTGTAGTTTCTAGACTGCCTGGTAAGAGACTGCACAGTGATCTCCAGTCCATGAGCTGAGCACATCTATGTTTTTCAGTCTGACAGAGGTGGCTTTAGAAATCTTAACCATGCCACTGTTGCTTCTGTCAGGAATCTCCCTGTCTATTATGCCCTTCAAAAGAAAAACTGATCACAGACAATATTCCCTACTACAAACTCACCTCCACTGAGTGACATGTGTATTTCTTAGTTTGAATTAAGTCTGTGCTTCTGCAGTTAGACAAGGACACTGCAGAGCTCTATGCCAGATTGCAACAGCCTGCATTTTCTTGATCTTTAAATATAAGAGGCATCTTCATTGTCAACACTAATCTGATTGTCTTTTGGCAAGGTAAGGAATAAGGCCTACAGTTTGGAATGGAGAGGCCAAAACAATCCATTAGAGACTTGGACCATGAAATTACAGAATATCAAACTGAACTGCTAGACTTTCTTTGTTTTGAGGCAGGGTTTCACTCTGTAGTTCAGTCAAGCCTTGAACTCCCTATGTAGCCCAGGCTGGCCTCAAACTCATGGCAATCCTTCTGCTTCAGCCTCCTGAGTGCTGGGGTTACAGGTGTGAGTCACCAGACCCAGTAAGACTTCTTATTTTTCCATTTTTTCCCTTAGTGGTGCTGGGGATCGAATGTGTATGACAGGTAAGCACACTACCACTGAGCTATACTCCCCAGCCTAAAGTGCTAGACATTTCTACTTCAAATCCGATCATCACTTCCATTTTAAAATTGTTTTAGCCAGGCACACACCTGTAATCCTAGCTAGCTAGGAGGCTGAGCCAGGAGAATCATGCACTTGAGACCAGCATGGGTATTATAGTAGGAACTCACCTCAGCTAATAATAAACGTTTATGCTGGTGATCAAATCAGCTGACTTAATAGTGAGTCCCAGTTGTACAATTAGACCAGGAAAAGGTTGACCTTCTAGTCTGACAGCCCCAAACAGGAAGATAATAAGACTGATGAATGAATTTATTGCACAATAATAAAAAACAGAATATATTTGCCTAAGAGTGTTAAGGCAAAATATTTTAATCTCTCTTAAACAAGGAGTTTCAAACTTGGTAAGTTTGGCTTCATTTCACAGAAGGTAATATAGTGAAGTGACTAAGAATATGTGTTTTAACATCAGCATGATCTAGGTCCAAATTCTGACTTGAACCCATACTTACTGAGTGTGATTTCAGGCAAGAGGCTTACCTACTTTCAGGGTTCAAAATTCCTTTACCAAAAAATGGAGGTATTTGTAATCTCAATGTATTGCTGTATGGATATGTAAGGAATTCAGCAGAGTTTGGTGTCTATTTAGCATTCAGTAAGTATAGTAATTAATATTGTTTTGTTTTGCAATTGATATTTTTATTACCATGATATCACTTCCTAATAGCCTTCATTGATTATTCTGTTCACAGTGATTATTAAGTTCTATTACTATTCTTCTCTCCTTTCATAATTGCTTTTGCCCAGTCTTTGTTTACAGAACACTACATGCACATTTGAAGAGCAGAAAAAGTAAATGCAAAAATTTTATGTCCTATTCAACACATGAATGAGTTCAGGATGAAACTACTTAGAGTTGGCTGAAGCGGAACACCAACTTAAGTCCTTTATCCTTGCCGTAATTACCAGAGAAACTTAGCCTAACGTGATCACGGACAAAACACTACGACCTTAACTCACAGTACTATTGTGTCCTATTGTTGGGAAGCTTTCCTACTTGAGGCAGTGAGCACCTCTACATTTACCCCTTTATAGTCGATGATACTGATTTCTCTAAGGATAGTCTTGCTAATAACATTTTTATGGCTAATAATATATCTGAGCGCTTACTTCTTGCCAGGTGCTGTCCTAGGAATTTATCTTTTATTATTTTCACAACCCTATAGAAAAAGTACTACTTTTATTTTACTTTATAGTCAAGGAAAAATAATCAAAGTAACAAAACACTGATTTGGTCTTATTTTAAAGGTATAACAAATCACATTTTTCTTTTTATCACAGTCATCAGAAAGCTCAGAGTTAAGTTTGCTGTCTACCTTCAATAATAACTGGAGAACCTATGACTTTTATTTTTTATACTATCCTTCATTCTGGTTTTCTCTTTTTCCTTCTTTTAATTCAAATTT